ACTCTCTCCAGTAGGTCCCTGTCTCTCTTGAACTGGGGAGCCCAAAACTGGACACAGTATTCCAGGTGTGGTCTCACCAGGGCAGAGTAGAAGGGGGAGAACAACTTACCTAGACCTGCTGGACACACTTCTCTTAATGCACCCCAGGATCCCATTGGCCCTCTTGGCCGCAAGGGCACATTGTTGTCCCATGGACAACTTACTGTCCACCAGAACTCCAAGGTCCTTGGTAAAGATAGAAAAAGTAAAGTATTTTTGGGGCTGTGATGAGGGGGCCAGGGCTGCCAACACACCTGCCCAGACCCCTGCCCTTGCTGCAAACCCAGCTGGAGCATCCATGTGACCACGTCCATCTCCTTTAAACCTCTCCCACCCCATCTTGCATTTTTTTTTTTTCACCAGCCAGCCCTCCATACACCCTCCTGGGAAGTTTTTTGTCTGGTACGGACGTTTGCAGCCCTAGAGCAGCCGGCCTAACGCAGCGCTGCCGTGAGTTGAGAGAGTTAACCCCACTGACACAGCCTGGGAGGTGCACGGAAGCTCCTCACATAACCCCACTAACGTTATGGCATGCCACCGTACGCACAGGGTCACCCGTGGGTCTGAGGTCAGCAGGGAGACAGCCAGAGGCGTCGTCTCACCCTTGTACTGCCCCTGCTCCAGTCAGAGCCAACGTGCAAAGCGTGCCGGGTAGCCGAGATGGTGATGGTTGTCTGAAGCCAGAAGTCATGCGTGGGGGCAAGGCATGCTGCAGCACACGCTGACTCTTCCTCACTTCTTGTTTTGAGCCTTTCTCGGTGCAAACCTGCAATGGCAGTTCTAGGGTTTATTTTTTCCACTGGTTTTCTAGCACTGGTCTCTTTCAGGGAATGAAGAATATTCCTGATATAACAATGCATTTGGTAAAGACTGTTTGCTGTCGGTGTTGCCAATAAGCTGCATTTGCTCATTTGGTCTGTACCAGTCTGGAGTAGGTTAGGCTGCAGAGCTGAAGCTGTATTCACTCTGGGTTTTTTTACTGTGTTTACTCTGAAGCCTACTGAAGGCCTAGAGAAGACCTCCTGGACTCTGCAAGCAGCAGTTTGCTGCCAGCGGATATTTCATGTGAGAGATGATGCAAAATGCCCCTGCCTGGATCCTACCTCCTGTCGTGTCCCAGTATCCCAAGGTGTCTGTCGCTGGGAGAGGAGAAGGGATGGGAGCAGTCAAGGTGCCTGCAGCTTTGGGGCTGCTGCCACTGGCCTGGGCCTGCAGGGAGGCCCCAGGGGTGTCACCGTTGTGCAGCGCATGCGAGGCTGGAGGAGCCGTTAGCTCTGACAGGAGTGCACATGCCCTCATGGCGGGAGGTGCCAAGCAAGCCTCGGGCACATCTGCACTCCTCAGGTGTCCCAGCAGCACCCCAGACCCACACACCCATTTGTATGCAGGTGCTCAGGGATGACATCTCACTGCCAGGCTGGACACTCACAGGATCCCATGTCTTGGGGGTGGCCAACCCTGTGTCTTGCTGGCCATCCTGGCATGTCATCCCTGTCCTGGGCAGTTGCTACCACAGTGAGCAGTGAGTGGTAACGCTGTGGCTCCTCGGATGGTGTCGATAACCATGGGCCATCATGCCCTGGTAACGCCCCATGCACTCTCTCCTCTTCTTTCTGTTTTTCAGCGTCGGGCAAGTTGTCAATATCAAAGCCAAAGTGAACCGAGCCTTTAACTCCAGCATGGAGGTTGGTGTGACACTCCCTGCCCCTACCCCCCTTGCCATGTGCCCGTCCCTGCCAGTCAAACACGAAATCCCCAAATCCTCCTGTGGTTTCCACCTTTGATGCTGCGTGTCGGTCCTGCCGTGCTTGGTGGGGTGTGGGTTCATCGAGGAGCAGAGCCAGCTCTGCTGTGCTCTCTTCCAGGTGGGCATCCAGGTGAGCTACGAGGACCTGTGCAGCGGGAAGCACTGCAGTATCTGCAAGGCTTATGCCACCTTCGTGGCACACGATCCTTCTGGTGGCAAGGTGAGTGGTGGCCGTGGCGGTTCAGAAGCA